GGCAGGCCCCAGAAATTGATGACTGGCGTACTTCTAGTGGTGACCGTGTGCGGATTGAGCTTGACTCTCCGACTAGTGTTTTCCGGGTGACGGCGCTTCTGCAGGAGGCACAGGAAACTGCTTTCTGGCAGTCTGCCTCACGCCACCAAGGCGGCAAAGGCCTCGAAGTAGGTGCGGACCTCACTGTTGTGAAGCGCTTCTTGAAAACACTGCGCGACCGTCGAGAGGAGTACTGTGCTGCTGTCGCTGTTGTGCAAGGTTCACTCCCTACCTTTCAAAATGGCTGCCGTGACGCTTGTCCTTTCTGTTGTTCCCCGGCCCCATCCTTGAAACACCTGCTGTATGAATGTGATCAACTTGAGCCGTCGCCGCCGGCAGAATGGCGCAGTCATCTGGACGACCATACACAGCAAGCATATTGGATGCGGGGTCTTATTCCCGTCAAGTGGACAGGCATTCCGGAGCGTGTGCTTGATAGTTTGCTTGAGCATGTTGAAGTCGGCGGTCTTTGGGCCGATGCAGAAAAGGTGGATGGCGCCCAGTTCTTTTTTGGTGTTGATGCCAGCGGAGGTTCTCGTAGCAAGGACCCTCGTACTCGGCTCTGTAGTTGGGGTATTTCGGCCGTGACGTTGGACGCCACTGGGCAATGGCATAGAATTGCTTGGAAAAGTGGCTTGCTCCCAGGTCGTAAACAGACGGTTGCTAGAGCCGAGCTGTATGCACTCGTGCAGCTGTTAAGGCACACGTGGGGCCCCATCTCCTTCTCTAGCGATTCCCAGTTGAACATGAAATTGTTTCAGCGTTTGGTGTCCACTCGTCGTCTGCGATCCTCTTGGTCGAATTTGGACTTGTGGCATGAAGTGCGCGAAGCTTTGTCACAGCGGTGGTTGCGGGGCACCTGGGTAAGATCTCACCTCTCCTTGCCTATGTTCGAGGCTGAATTTGGCCCAGATCTTGGCTGGGCCTATTTTAGCAATGCCTACGCTGATGAAGCTGCGTTGGTTTTTAGTTGTTGGTTGGATCGGCAGCCTTTGTTGTCCACGTGGGTCGATATCCGCAGGTGGTCTGACGCCAGAAGCTGGAAAATCCTGGAGTACTTGACGTCTAGGGCTGTGCGCATCCTTCGAGCCCCGCGGGAGGCCCGCAAACAGGGCCCCAGGCCTGCCACTCGTAGGGAGTTTCTTGTTAGCTTGCCAATCCTTTACCCGCATCATTCTTGGAAGTTAGGTGTTGCCTCATCTTTCGCTAGCTGTCAAACTTGTGGTCTTCGTGTTAGCAACCAGCTACTGGGTAAAGAACTGGCCGCAGGCCCATGCTACCGAACCACTCTTGACTGGGTTGGTCGTGGAGTCCACCCTAGCCATGAGTTGGATTTTATAGACCAGCGGCGTGGCTGGCGGTGTCGGTTTTGCCGGCTGACTTTAAAGCCGCATAGTCGGGATGCTGCCTGGTTTCGGTTGTCACGGGGCTGTCGTAGGGCCCACTCCTGTCGGAACTAGGGCTTCGGTGTTTTCGGCTTTGCTGAGTTTCCTGTCAAAAAAAATGAGTGTCTATGATATTCTTTGGTGTTACTGGGTCGTCGTATTCCTCATAATGAACCTGCTCTTTTTCTGCGTCTACCTTCATTACATCGATGACATAGATCTCAGCTGCCGACCAACTGTCGTCCACGTGAACACTGGTTGAAAAGATGTAGAGGGGAGTTTCGAAAAACTAGGGTACCTTATTTTGGGGGTCCTTATAATAAGGATCCTATTATTTAGGGTACTATATTAGGGTCCCCTATTTTCGGAAACCCCCATGTTCTCTCAAAGGCTCCTCTGTAGATTATTTGATCTCAAGTTCTGGATCAATACTGTTTTACCACCTGTTGAAGAAGCCCCACATAACATTCTCGCAGCTAGCCTTAAAGCATCATTTCAAATTTACTGTGTTTATGTTTGTATTCGGGTCTGTCTATTGGTATTCCCCGTGTATGTGCTTTCTCGTCGCTTGTTCTTGAACTAGCTCTCTTCTTCAACAACCAGGCCCAAAAAAGATCCAATTTTTTAGGATAGACCTAATATGTATAGCCAAAAAGTTTAAAGTTCTCCTATTGGCTTACTAAGCTAGTAACCCAGAACGATACGCTGAATGTTTGTTTTTTGTGTATATGTCTTGTTTAACTTCCTTCTGTAACTTTATGTTGGCGGGTGTGGGTGCCAGTAATATAATACATATATATATATATATATACATATGATAGATGTATACTATACTGCAATATGATACCTATATGGAAGCAACTGATAAATTTCAAGCAATAGATGATGATTCAGGATAGATTACACAGACGGTGTTGATGCTCACTTCTGGAAATTTGTGAAGGTATTTTACAGTGTTTGAAACTGAAGAAAAATAAATATACTAGAATATAAATGTCCGATAAAGAAGACAATGATAAAAGCGATGGTAGCATTAAAATACATACAGATGGGTTAAATTGTTTGCCTTGTAGATGTAAGTGCAACACAATACACAAGGAGACAAAGACAACAACCAATAAAGATAACGAGGTGGTGGTGAATGTTATTGAGGACCATATTACCTTCCGCATGGGTCGGGCTGCGGGCTGCATACTCCAGATGGTAAAACACATGATGCTGCTATTCAATCAGGAGACGTGTCAATAGCCGACACGGGATGGGGACAAACAGGAAGAACAATAACACCAGAGACAGAATAGAGAAATTGGAGAAGCAGGTTGAAGAATTGAAAGCTTTCAGAAAATGAACAGTTTGGTTTGAAAAATATCTAGCCTATTGTGACAGGATATTTAGTCACATGCCCCCCTCTTGTAACAGAAACAAAGCCCCTAAAATGTTCTACAGACTCACAAGCATGTCATAAGAGCGCGGACAGATTTTTATTCAAAATCCGCTGCGTTTCGTTAAAGCTTAAGGAACCAGCCCATGTTCATGATGTGGCCGGTACCAAAGAAACTGTGCAGAATGTAGTACTATAGTGCCCGTAAGAGTGAATAAGATATCAGTTGATTTTGAACCATATGATGAAACAGTTAACGTTGTTACTAGAAAGTGCCTGTTGTCCAAGAAGTGTTTGACGACGTTAGGTGGTTGTTAACGAATGATCTGTCTTTGGAGGACAGAGTCAGAATAATGATTGAGATGCCTGTTGATGACAAACCAGAACAAACTACTCCTCCTTATGCAGTGATACTATGTTGCAATTACAATACAAAAGCAGTGGTATATCCTAGCTACATCAGTAGAGTTACAACCCATAACCCTAAACCCTGAACCAAATTCGATAAGGAACCCCTCACCTATTTTGGGCGATGGCACTTGGATAGATGGGGGTGTTGGGAATAAGATGATTCTGCTAAGGTTGTTTTTTTTGGGGTGGGTGGTGCCAATACCGAAAATAGGCAAGGTGTCCTCTAACTCTAACTGAAGTAGTAGGTAGAACCCATAAAAACTGTAGGGAAGTAGGGTCCCAGGTGGGTCTTTGCTTTCGAAGTGTGCACCTGAAATCCGGGCTGCTGGTGCGATAGGATGAAGGTCTGCAGCACCTGACGTGTTCTTTGAGTTTCGGAGCGGGGTTAGTGCTTAAAGTAGGGGCCTTAATAATAATTGGAATAGGGTTCTGGGGTATGTTATACTAGAGTTGTAATAAGGAACCCCCCCACAATGTTCGAGGTAATCATTTAGGCCCCTATATTAAGTTTCGGGTTTGACAATTCGGGGTTTCAGGTGCATTAGTTCAGGTTCACAGAGGAGTTGGGGGCGTTCCGGGGAGCTAGTAGCCTACAGTAGCCCTTATAGAACCCTTTATACTAGCCCTTATAGAACCCTTATAGTAGCCCTTATAGTAGATCTTATAAACTTAGTAGCTGAGTGAACACACTTTACACTTTTTGGGATAATATGATCCCTTATAGAACTGAAAGTGTACACTTTTCGGGGCTTATGAACTCAGCAACCAAGTAAAAGGTGCCTGAGTGAATAGAATCAGGGAGGTCTCGGCGCTTTCGGATGTCCCGGCTGGGCGCCTCAAAGAGGCACCACACCCGGGTCAGCGGCGTGGCCTCGTCGTCCAGTAACATGACAGTGGCTTTGGTCCTGAGTCAGGGTTTAGGGTTTAGGGTTTAGGGATTTAGGGCCAAAGTGAAGCAGCTAGTCATTCGCGAAACTGTGGGTTTAGAGTTTTGTTACTGTTGAACATAGGAGTGGTAATCGTTTGTAGCAGCGACGACGGTAGTGACACCACCACAGCCGCTAGAACCACTCCACGTCCTCCTCCTCCTACTCGTCGACGACGAACTGGCAAATAGCAAATAAGGTGGCTTGCCAGTAAGTGCTTGAACAACTCTGAACCTGTACCAAGTCTGAGGCACCATAAATGCCATGCCCCCAAAGAAAGACCTCTGAATGCCTCTAAAGCATCCAGCTACCGTTCCTTCACCGCTCCTATCTACACGCCAGACAAGAAATCGGATCAGTTTTTTGAACCCTGCACCCTAAACCCGAAGACGTGCGGCCAGCTGGATAGCCTTACTGAACCTTTATCTGCGCCTCAAAAAGGAACCATGTACCCTAAACCCTAAAGTTGAAAGACGCAAGCACAGAGAAAAAAAACATAGTGAGTCCATCCTTAACATTGAACTCCTCCTAAGCCTTAAACCCTCGACCCCTGAACCCTAAATGCTAAAACCCTAAACCCTAGATAATAAAACCCTAAACCCTAAACTCTAAATTCCAAAACGCTAAACCCTAAACCCTAAATCCTAAAACGCTAAACCCCAAACCCTAAATTGTAAAACCCTAAACCCTAAATTTTAAAACCCTAAACCCTAAACCCTAAATCCTAAACCTTAACCCTAAACCCTAAATCCTAAAACCCTAAAGCCCTAGATCCTAAATCCTTAACCCTAAATCCTAAAATTCTAAAGCCCTAACCCCAAAATCCTAAACCCGAAGCCCTGCCGGACCCAAAGTCCCTCTTTCTCCGGACCGGTCTCCTGGGATCCACCAGCGCCATGTAGAAGGACGACTGGAAAAGGTCGCCACCCCTGGGTTTAGGGTTTAGGGTTTAGGGTTTAGGGGCCGGTTTAGGGTTTAGGGTTTACGAACCCCTAAACCCCTAAATCCTAAGCCTGAACACTAAAGCCTAAAGCCTAAAAGTGAATTCATTGATGACGGGGCTGCTGAGTCTCTGGGATATACGCCACAGTAGCCCTTTCTGGCAGATAAAGTTTGTCGATCCATAATCTAGGACCTAGGAGTTAGGATTAGGGGGACCCTTGGGCATACAGACACTGTCAATACGGCCAATTTTAACAGAGCCATAAGTAGAGTTAAGAAGGGTCCCCTGTAAGGGGTCTCCCCAATACTACCTAGGGTCATCAGGACCATAAGGACGCCTAGCATGTTACGGTCCTAAGGTCCTTTGGGTTTACGGTTTAGGGTCCTAGATAAGTTCCGAAACAGCATCGAGGCCTCAAAAATCAGAAGACGGCCTTGGGGCACTATGCAAAACGAATGCTGCTCGGGACTAAAAAGGGGTTGCACTACCGATTTTCCGAAACCCCGACAACCCAGTCAGCGCCTATCTAGAGTTTTAGGTTTAGGGGAATAGGACGTTTCTTTCTTGTCGATCGGTATAGCACTGGTCAACTCCCACAGGAAATGCACACCATGTACACTGACAAGAAACGCTCTGCTACTAACAGGAAGTTGACGACAAGGCTCAGTAAACCCTAAACCCTAAACCCTAAACCCTAAACCCTAACAGTTCCACACCTATTATGCTGTGTCGCCTTGCCTAGCCCTGTTTCAGTTGAAACTCGGCACCCTGCATAGCAGCTGCACAAATTTGCACCATCACAGTACCCTCTACGGCTTTGTCAGAGCACTACACGCCCGAACCCAAAGCTCTTCTGTGACCACTACACCCCAATCTGGAATCCGTGCGCAGCTGTGCAAACCCTGCACCGAACCCGGAAACCCTCGTGCCCCAAAGCGCTCATTATAGAACCATTATAGAGGCTGTATGGTGCAGGGATCAAGCTTGTGGGTTGAGCCCTCATAATTTAATAGTGACGGTTTAGGGTTTAGGGGGGTTTAGTGTTTCGAGTTTAGGGTCATAGACCCCAGAACCCTTTAGTAACCCCCTTGGAACATATCCAGCGGACAAGCGGCCCCAACTCCTCTTCGATGCAGTGCTGGTTGATTGCAAACGAGCACACCCTGTCAGGGGCTTAATTTCAGCAGCCTCTTGTGAACTGCTTAGAAACCAGCTCGAACAAACAGATGCCGCAAATCAATAATCTGCGGCTGCAACCTCTTTTGCTGCCGGTACTCTCTTGCTCCTTCCTGCTCCACCTCTCTCCTCCTCCTGACTTGCTACATGTGCTGCTACCAGCGATAGCTACAGCATCTTCCCCATGGATAATGCCCTAGACCCTAAACCCTAAACCCCCAAAGCTGAAAACCCGAAACCCCTAAACCCCTA